TCTAACTATTAACGCCCCTATATTACTTGATTCTTTCTTGACCCTACTTGACCCTATTATGGGAGCACAGTCCGAAGAAACCAAAGGCCACAACGAATCCTACGAAGCTGGAAGACAAAGCTGGAAAGCCCAAGATCGAAGGAATCCTCAACCAACTAACAAGGGCCCAAATACTCATACCGATATTATTACTACTACTATTTCTCGTACTCTACCACTACTACCACTACTACTANNCTACTGCTGTTAGTACTACTACTACTACTACTACTACTACTACTACTATACTACTACTACTACTACTACTACTACTACTACTACTAACTACTACTACTGCTGCTACTACTACTACTACTACTACTACTACTAATACTACTGCTACTACTAATACTACTGCTACTACTCTTATTCGTATCAGTATTCGAACAAGGGTTTTTGACAAGGAAACACACTTATTCAGGTCGCCATGTTACCCAACGCCCCGGCCCACACCCCCGCGCCATCAACGAAGTAGACGTCCCCCAGTGGGGCATCGAGGACATCCTGCAGCGAGGAGCCTGGACCAAACTTAGGACGGCTCCAGGGCTCTATAGGGTTTACATACATCGTACCTGTAGCGCCAAAGGCCTAATATTTCAATGAACCATGTCAAGAAACCATGGTGAGGAACTCTAAAAAGGTAGGGGTTTTGAGCTACATGCAAGCCCTGAATTTAATATCTCGGTATCGGCCTGAGATTGAGGGCTCAGGTTTAGGTTACGTCTTCTGATCTCAGTCTTAGCGGGCTTGTGGCCAGGGGGATAGCTTCTCGGTTGTTTAGGGTATAGATTTTGGCAAGGGTATACACGTTTACTGATGTGTGTGTAACTACCAGTCTCTTCCTTATACACAATTAAACATGTGTACCCCTCCATATGTACATATGCATGCTTATCGTACAATCTTGTCAACCCTAAACAGCACCATATCAAACGACTAAGCTCCAAGGCTGTAAAATCATGTAAACCCCAAGCCTCACAACCCGACAAGACTGCGACACTCTGAACGCCCTTAGCGTCCCAAAACATCCCGCTCAACCCCGAACATAGAACATCGTCAAACCACAACCGGCGAACAAGAACAAAGGCCCACCCGTGCCAAAATGCAGGGCCTTGGCTCACAGCGACGCAGTTCGTGAGGCACCGGTTGATCGTGAAGCTCGCACCTTGAATGCGTGAATAAACAGCGACTATGTGAATATTCATAAACACTGCAGTTGCACGTGACACTACACAGGCAAATACATGTGTATCTGCACATGTATACACGGAGTTGGAGTAATTGTACATATATATATATATATCTCTCTCTCTCTCTGCCCAAAGCGGAGAGAGAGGGCTACAGAGAGCAGATGCCTGTCATTTGTGTGTATATATATATATATACAATGTGCAAGCAAAATCATACAGACTATGCAACCTGAGCCGGGTTTGGGATTGAGGCAGTTAGCTTTCTATAGCATACTGAAAATGTGTACAGCTTTGTCGGGTGCAGCAGCTCTGACGGGCTTGCTAGGTGCCCGGTCTGGACCTTGGGGGAATCCGCGGTTTCCGGCGGTTTGGCTATAATTTCGTACGTCTCATGACGCTGCGGCTCGTACGACGCTTGCAAGAGGAGGTTTGGCCAACGGCCCACTCAATGGCTGCCAGAGTGGATTATAGAACAAGGAATCAAGGTTTACGGTTTAGGGTTTAGGGTTCAGGAACCCTAAGGCACCTTCTATTGCTAGTTCAGGTCCCTACATTGCAGCCCCACCCATCGGACGCTTCCCCGCCTAGAGGGT